TCTCATCATCAACGCTCTGACTAAACCATCATTACTATCACTATTACTATAGCTTAGCAACAACACAACCCAGAACTCCCTTTATAAGAAACCATTTGAACTCTAACCATCTAATGGTTAAATAGCCAATGTGCAGTACAGCGGTCGTTCTAACCAGACAACCAATGTATATGATACGTTTCTAATGTGTTTATGTGTTAAAGCACGAGATATAAAATGCAATAAAATATTATATGTATATATGTATGTGGATATGTTTTTATGAATTTATTGCTTATTATGTTGCATTTTATAAAGTTATGTGTGTTTTCCTTTTTCTCTCGGGCCATAGAAAGGCGATGAGAAAGTATCAATTGTTTGCTTTTAAATCATTGCTGAATTATGTTAATAAAAAATCTCAATCGTTTTGGGATCGAGAAGTTGTTACTTAACGTTTTAAATAGCTTTGAGAAATAAAAATAAATTTATTGTTGCATATGCAGGGTAAGGGCTACACTAAGATCAAAGAAGTGAAAATTAGAAGAAAGTATTGGATAAGCTTCGCCTAAGGCTGAGATATAAACGTATTAAGCATCTTCGAATATTGCGAATAGAAAAACAAAAGAACACATTAGTCAGCCGATTGTTAGGTGGGAAATGATTCCTTTTATTTCGCCATTGTTTGCACTGGCAAATGTATTCTTTTTTAAATCTTAAAATCTGCCTGTAACGGTTAGATAAGATAAGAGGCAAAACGTTGGCAAAGAAACATGCAGAAGCATGTTTCGAAAAATGCAAAACACACGGATTTTATTGCTACTCAAATTCATCTCTGTCAATAGACTATCGCTTTTGATTTTTTTTGTCCATGAACAAATTTTGGGGAAAAAGCAACAAAAAAGCAAAGGCTTGTGCAAACACTTTGAACAAACCGATTCACCCACACAAACTTGATATTAGTTGATGGTCTTGAGAGACAAACTTTCTCAAGTGGCAGAAATCCCTCTACACGTCTAACGCTACGCGAAGAAGTGAAGCAGCGAATAATTCATGGATAGCGGTTTGCAAAAAAAAAAAAAAAAAAAAAAAAAAAATACACATGTATGTTATTTTAGTTTTAGAATCATATATATATATATATATATATATATATATATATATATTATGTTGTGCGACTTTGCACCCATAAATTTAAAGGAGAGTTAAAAAGTTTATCTTTTTGCATTGTGTTTAAACTTTCTTTACTTTATTCTGTGCTTAAGTTCAAAATGTAGAGCTTAAGAGAATCTTTTATTGAATTAAATTTGGTTAACAGTTAAAGAAATATTTCTTTCTTTTCTTCCCTCGTTCGGTCGTTCATTCACTCAGATAATTCTTTTTCTCGTCCATTAAGTTCTTAAAAGAAGAAATGCCTTGAAATCCATTAGCACATCATTACAATGGGATAAGTAAGTTTAAACCAAACTTATAGCTCGTAAAATAGAAAAAAAAGGCATAAGTACGAAATCGAATAACCAAAGGAAAGAAGCAAAAAAAAAAAGATCGCTAAGGGAAAAGAAAAAGATTATATTTGACTACGGTGAAGTTCCTTATACCGCTCATGTACAGAAAATAAGATACTGAAGAGTAGAGTACTCGGAATACAATTTTGATTTGTTTTCCGATTTTCTTCAGAATCTATGCCGTTTCGCAACCGAGATAATATAATTTTGGTCTTAGGGCACTCTTGCCCAGCGCCAGATATTCCTTTAAGAAAACTTGCATTGATGCAAAATGATTTTGATATGTTATGCAAGTAAATTCCGAGTAACTTTGCCATTTCAGTTGTTCCGTACAGATTAATTAAATAAGTATACCCACAACAAGTCTTCAAAGTTGGTTGGTGAAAAAAAAAAAACCAAAGTAAAGGGAAACCACAATAAAATGTTAAATGGAATGTAAAGTTAAATTAAAATGTGGATAAGTGGAAGAAATGGAATTGTAGGGAAAATAAAACCAAAAGTCAATGTTAGAGAAAGAAAATTGGGAAGGGGGACAGAAATACGAAAGCAAAAAGCTGGAAAATATACCAAAACGCAGATCAAGTATGAAAATCAGTAAAGTAAGATAATTAAAAATATCTCTTGCATGTTTTTATGTCCGCACCACCGGAGTGAAGTCGAATATTTCAATTTCTCATCCACTTTGTAACATTCACAAGCAAACATCAAATCCTTGAGAAAAATATACAAATTATTAATAAAAGCCAAAGTCGTAAAAAATGGGGTGGAAAGCTTCGGTTCGATATACATGCCCGCCGCTAATATGGATTCGAAAGTGATTGTGTTTGACAAACATCTCCGCGATAAGGGTACTGCCCTTAGAAAAGCTTAATGTTTTAAAATTTTATTTTCACTCCTCATTAAAAACTTCTTTAGGCAATTGAAAGATGGAAAGCTGGACCTTTGGCTTACTCTGTAGCTACTCCTGAGTCGTTCAGACGCGAAGTAAGCTTTTCTATCTGATTTTTTTTTCCCTTTTTATTCTTCGTTAGCAAATCTTGTTATTGTTATTCAATGCGAAACAAACTAAAATACAAAAAAACAAAAAAAAGAACAAGAAAAGCAAAAAAACTATACAAAAATTAAACATTTCGAAGCCCTAGCAATGTGAATAGAATCAGGAATCCATACATAAGCATTTTTAAGCGGTCTATGACTGAGGATTTTATTTTACATACGTACGTTGCAGTGATATATAAGTCATTATTCATATTGTAAGTAAGTGTCTGGACGTTAGCTGCAGGATTGCAGTAGTTTCGACTTTTCATTATGTTATGTTTTTTTTTTTATTTTATTTTATTATTTTTTTTTTTTTATTTATTTTATTGAGTTTTTATCGTATTAATTAAAGGAACATTGATTGCCAAGGAGAAGTTACGAGTTCAAGTTGATTTATGTTCCTACGATGGCATTTGAGGGTCAGTAAACCACAGGTGTGCAGTTGATGCAAGGGTTTGCAATTAATTAAATGGAAATTTCAAAAGCAAAATACAAAAACGCGAAACGTCGAAAAAAACATCGACCACAATATGCATGAGAATAATCGCAAAACTGTTGAATAAGTAACACAGCAAAACTTACACTAACGAAGATGCACAGTTTACCTATTGTAAGCTTGAAGAGCATAAACCGTTTCACTTATATATTGTTAACAAATGTTGGTTTAATGAGAAAACCTTAATTGGCGCGATACAAACAATGGATATTCTTTCTAAAGAAGTAACTTTTTCTAGGGGAAAACGATTTTTCTTTTATTTTTTTTTTTTTTTTTTTTTTTTTTTTTTTTTTTTTTTTTTTTTTAGAATGCACTGTGTGTACAGTGATCAAAAAAGAAGGTGGGTTTCTTTATAAAATCAATGTCGTCACCTTGAAGAGGGTGCATATACTGCCCTAGCGAGTACAAGTACAATCACCTACCGTGATTGAAAGATAAAATGAATTTGCTTACGAAATCAACTGCACCGCCTTTAAGAGAGTATGTATACATGTACATACACTTAGGCCTGGAAAGTGTAGATGCTCCTACTGTGAGCAAACATTAAAGTGAATTAGTTTATAAAATCAAGTTTAGCGCCTCGAAAGTAATCCAGCATTTTTTCCAATCCCCAGAAAAGTCGGAGAACTTTTGTGCGGCAAGGCCGCCCATTTGGCGTTTATTTCTTCAGCAGAGTCGAAGCGCGGTCGCCAAATCGGTGTTATAAATTTATTGAATGGAAATAAATCAATGCGAATACGCTGATTGGGGAATGACATGCATCCGAGCTTTTGGTGAAATACTCTCGGAGAACTGGCGCAGTTCTTGGAATCAATTAAGATTTGGTGGGTTTGAGGGGCAATACATTTTTTAAAATGTTTTGGGCCAATGCAAACGAAATGTGCACAGTATCAGCAAGGTTTCCAATTGCGAAGTGATGAACGTCGAACGAGAACGTCGTTCGGAAGTGCTGCGACATAAACTCTTCGCCAAAGGTCTTCGGCAGCATCCGCTAGATGCTAGCCGACAAAATGAGATTTTTGCATACTTACACGTACTATGTACACTTTCCCACAGGGATGTCAAAGACATTACCACCGAACCCTCCCACCCCTGCCCAAAAACAATCAATTAATAGTTTCTCGTAAAGTTTAAATGAATATTATACTGCGGATGTCTCTTGGCGTTTTACATGCCCGTCGCTAATATGGATGCGACTGTGATTGTGGTTGACAAACATGTCCGCGATAAGGGTAGTCCACTTTGAAAAGCTTAATGTTTTAAAATTTTATTTTCACTCCTCATTCAACCTGCGGTGCAGGTTTAATTCCACGTTGCCCGACAACGAACGAACCGGAAAAATGCTAAAGAAAGACAAGCATATGAACGTGTCCTGTGCTCTGTTAAGGGCCAGGTTCATCTAAACTTGTGGCTTTCAGGCGCCCGATCGCAAAGTATATTACAACTAGTGAAAGCTGACTATGCTATAGTCTCGAAGCGAAGAGAGTTTCTAGAAGGTTGTCCTACTCTTTTTAGTTTAACCCCTAATCATCACATTCACTGTGGTTAGCAGCGCTATACACGCAATTACGGAATTTTCCTACATTTTTGGTAAGCTAAGAACTTAAAACTTGATCAGAGGATATGTATGCGCAAAAAAAAAAAAAAAAAAAAAAAAATTATATCAATAACACTAATACATTCTGATGATAATGTGTGTGCCCAAGAATACTTAGCATTGTTGGACCAAGAAAAAAACAGAAAAAGGATTCATATCTCATTAAGGAATTGAAAATTTTCAATCATTTATATGCGCATACGTAATGCGAAAACTCTTTCACACGTTAATCTATAAATATATCAATTTTATCATTTGTATATCTTGAGAGACCAATCGTTTTTTTTTCTATTTTTTTTTTCAAAGGTTTGACTGCAAGAATTTTTTATAACTTTCACATACGATGATAGATAAATACATACAAATGCATGTTATAGAGGGAACTTACCGTCATATACTCATCCAGGCGATGTTTCCAATTATCTGAACGATCAATTAAATTATTCCATTGTTCTGATAGCTTGCCAACTTCACGTCTAATGCTGCGTGTCAATTCACGGCTTTGTTCCTCGGCGGACATGTAACGTGAATCCGTATCATGAGCAGCTAAAATATGAAAGGGAGGGAAAAAAAACGTAAAAGTGTTCAGAAAAAGGAAAAAAAACGCAGAGAAAGACAGACGAGAACGTAAGCATTGTGAGTGCACTTTCTGCACTTTATCCAGCCAGGCAAAGGGCAATAATGCATACACATATACGCCTACACACAATAACAACAACAACATATGCATAAACAGACAGACAGAGAGACAGGCAGACAGATATACTTAGGCAGACAAACGTGCACCACCATTTTAACAGAATGAATAATAAATTAAGCAAAATGTTAAAACTGGAGCACAGACAATTGTTGTGTATTTTATATCTGCTGGTAACTGCAGGTTGCTGTTGTTGAGTTGTGTGTTTGTTTTTCATTTCGAGTGTCTGTCGATATCTTGTCGTTATTTTATTATTATTATTGTTGTTGTTGTTGTTGGTTATACATATACATCTCTGTTGCTCTATTAGTAATGATTTTGATGGCAAAAAACGTATGGTTTCAAATCTTTTCTTTCGTTTATTTATTTACTCTTTTTTTTTTTTTTGTATGTTTTTCCTGCGGTAAAATTCAATTCTTCCATAGCTTTATTCTTAAATTAATAATGTGAAAGGACAAATTTTTGAAATGGCCAAAAAAAAAAAAAAGAAAAAGGAATACATGAAAACAAAAATGAACTAACGAATTTGATAATTATTTATTTACATTTATGTTTATGTTTCTACGCCGCTATCTAAAATTAAATCAATGATTGAATCCAAAAAGTTCAATGGTGGAAATCTTTGTCTTCATTCCAGTTTTCTTAGTTCGTTAAGTTCTGCTTTATTTTTAATTCCTGAGAACAACTTCAAGGCAACTCTAGTGCTGTAGTAATGACGAGTTCATTCAATGGTAATAATAATCTTCAATTCGCAACAAAACGAATACAAAGAAATTATATGCGATGGATTTTCACTTCGCCTTGGTTTAGCTGTTTGTGAATAAATACATATCCTAACTGAAGAAAATTATGCGTGACATAAGAAAGACACTAATACTGCAACGAATTATTATAATTGGAATATTGTGTGCTTGCATAAATAGCAACAAAGAGTCGACGCGACTTTATTTATTTATGAAAATCTAAGCAATGTCACCTATCGATCTATTTTTTTTATTTTCGGAGACGATATCTAAAATGTAAGAAATCGCGGCGGAAATCCTTAACTATAACATGAAAGATTGACGTTTGACTGTGCGGTAAAAGTTGTAGAACATTTCGTATGCAATCAAGTCTCTTCTGTTCAGCACCTTTCCTTGGGATGTTCGAATGTTGTAGATATAAGCAGTGAACAGATGTTCGAAGCGAAGATAAGCGAACGTCTGTGTTCGGTAGTTTGCAAATTAGACCCGACTCTGTTAGAAGTGTTAATAAACTCTCTCCTCTGAAATTGTTTGCTTCCTAAACCGTGCACGACGCCTTTAATCTTTGAAAGTTTTGGGTATAGACAACGGAGACATTGGTTCTTAGTATAAGTTGGAGTTGTTTTCAAGCTGTCGGCCTTCAGTTAAGAGATGTCTTTCTATTCATATTTAGAATTTCATATTTCATGCAAATTTTATTTTGCATCGTTTTGTGCCGTATCGCATCATGCATTAGTAATATCGTAGGTTGGTATTAGGCAAGGCTACAGGATAACACTCTCGACTGCCAAGTCAGTGTTCGCGGGTTCTCGAAACACTTATATTACATACTTAGATTTCTGTTCGCTTGTTTAGCGCTTCAAGCTAAAAATATTGAGAACTGTTTACCCTGAACTTTGATTTCGATTTTCTCCTCTATAATGTCATTGTTTTTGAGTCTTAAATTTTAAAAGCGTTGCTTGATTCGACTAAACGCGTATCGTAGCCAGGAAAAAACAAATAAATAATAGCAATTTTCAATAAAAATCAACTTAAGATCATCGTGTTTTTAAGACCTACAGAAAGCAAATCGAATGCACATTAGTGTTATTCGTGTGAGATGAAAGGTATATAAAATACGTTCTAAGACGTATAAAACTTTCTCATATGTTCGTTCTTAAATTTGTTGTTTTCCGTTTTGTTTGGTTTTCTTTTTTTTTTCTTTTTTGTTTACAAGTCATAAGAACTATTGAAAAAACTTTTCAATATGTATGCCCTATATATTGATAGAAAAAAAACTGCAACAATAACAACATTAGCACAATTGCATAAACTTTACTTACTTACTACAGAAAATTTCGAAAATTTTCAAATGTGTTTGCATTATATTGAATTTAATACTTGGCTTTTTCTTTTTAAAACAACAGCAGAAAGGGTGAGCGAGCGAACGAACGCACAAGAGGGAGAGAGAGAGAGAGAGAGAGAAAAAGTGAAAAATAGATGAACTAGAGCATAGAAACTGTGTAACATCAAGGGAATGGGGGAAGGAACAAAAGCGAAAACTTGAAGCAAATTTCAGTTTCAAGCACATCGAGGCTGCACGAAAAACAATGATATTGAAAACAAGGAAACAGATACACACATGAATCAATGTAAACTTATACACACACATTCAAACGAAGCATAATATATGCAACTACATAGTAGTAATAAAATTAAGGCGTAAAAGATGAAAATGAAAGTTGGAATAAAAGAAATTAACAAAAAAAAAAAAACAACTAAAATTGACTTAAGGCTGACACCAGTTGAACAGTCAGTTTTATTAAATCTAAGTCATTCAATTCGAAAACTGAAATCCATAAGGGAATTAGTGCTAATTCCTGCTTTCAAGAAAAGCAAATACTTGTTGTTGCTTTTGTAAACGAGGTTCTTACGGTTTCGATAGAGATTTTACGAGAGCTATAGACTTAAGTATAAAAAATTTGTTTTTCTTCTTGTGAACTGATGGTTTGATCAATCGTTAGCATGTCACTATGTTTGCATGAGCTTGAGACGCGCCTTTCGTTCCTTGCCGGGAAAGTTTCGCCGGCGTTTCTTATATTATTTAATGAAAATTGATCTGCTAATGCCGTATCGTACTGCTGTGTTGTTTTGTTTAATACCGTTCAGTAGCATTCGAGTCTTGCTTGAGACCACTTCGTACCATTTAATGATAGCTTAATACCTACAGCTGTTCTTACCATCATCTTGCCACGGTCACCTTATGTAAAATAACATAGAGGCGTAGTATTGCTTGATCATGCTTTTCGTCGCTTGAACACTCGCTTAATAAATCTGTTTATCAGTCAGCTAATAATGTCTCGTACGTGTAGTTAATATTACGCATTACACATTAACGCCTTACTTGACGTAGTTGTGATTTGAACCAAAGGGTGCTGTGTATTTTAACTTCTGAACTTTCTATATTTATTAGTGTTCACATGTTTTCGCTAACCGACATCGTACCGACTGTTTGTTGAGAGGCGTCCCCCCGCTTGTTAAAGTTCTATATATTAGGTCTACCAACGGACGCACTGTAGTTGTGGCACCATTGCGATTTTTTGGTGAAAGTGGCCCCCCCCTCCTATAGATGTGCATCAGCATGCATTTAAAGCGACGTAAGCTTCAAGAAATAGTTATCTTAGTTAATAGGTTTTCCTCGAATCAAAAAGAGAATTTAATTTCTTTTAATTTAACTTTAATGCCGATCATATAATAAAACTGTGAAATGTTCATCAAGTCGAAAGAACTCTAAAGAACTTTATTATCTAAAGACACGTAATAAACATGCAAGTAAATAAAAAAAGAAGGCAAGTAGGAAATAAACATGAAACGTTAACGAAGGTCTTTAATGTTGCTTAATGCACATTTAAGGCATAGCGCAAAAACATACTCAACATATAATAATATGTGTCCTGACGTACACGATAAATGGAAACATGGTAGAGAATGAAGCTTTCAAAAATTGATTTCCCCAAAGCAGCGACTCAAACGATAGTGTTGTTAAAATTTAATTCTGTTCTCTTTTTTTTTTTGCCTTTTTTTTCTATAATTGAAATTCAAATATTGACTTACCTTCAGTATCGCTCGTATCGGAAACTGGTGGTTCACTGGCTATGTACTGACGTCCACTTAATAAATTGCTTTCAACAATTGGACGCTTATCCTCCAATTGACGGCGAAATGCTTTGTGATCATCCTGAAAAAAACGAAAAAAGAATAATATGTATAAAGGAAGAAAGCTATATGTACAATTACATATATGTGGAATGTTGAAAGGCAATCATTTTCAAATGTCTGGCGAGGATTAACACAATATAACAAACAAATAAATATTTTCTCCGATATTATGACTAGATAAGAAAAAATAGTATAGTGGACCGTGCCCCAACATAAATACCTTACACCACTTGGTAAAATTAATGATATAACGACTTTTTTAAATAATTCGTTACGGGAAAAGTGGCCCGATCCGAACCATTACCAATAGCGTGCAACTTCGGGCCAAAACAGGCCAGTCTATCAAAGTTCATCCAAATATCTGAAATTTTGTGGACTGTAGGTGGAACAGAAGAAAACAGCACGGAAACACGGACGAACAAACTTAGCGGTATAATAAAGGGTGGGTCTATCTCAAGTTCTTTTGCGTGTTGCGCGCATCGGAACAAGCTTAATATCTGCTTATGCCACAAGCGTACATCAGGTGTCAAATTTTAAGATCTGACAATGAAATAGAAAATGTAAAATAGTCGGAAAAGAAGGACAAAAGCGTAGGTCCTTTTTATATTTTTGGGCATTACACAGGGTCAAGGAAAAGCTTTTCTCCCCGTGTAATAGACATTGAACGTGACAGTCACTTGAAAAATTTTCTTTTAATTTTTGTTGATTTAATACTAATTCGGTGATAAAAGAATCCAAAACCAATTAGTGTGTGGCTTAAGTAACAAAATTTAATAATAAACCGAAAATACATTAAGTGTCCATTAAAGTGTAATATAAGAGACACACACAAAACATCCAGTGCTTTTTTCGTTTCATCCTTCTTGCTTTGTGCCCGAAATGTAATCAAATTTCTTATAACAATGTTTAGGTGCTAAAAACCGTCCTCTCCTCCCTTTTATTGTTCATCGTCTACAGGGCATTTATTGTTCGTGGGTATGTGTGCATGCATGTTCTTTATTGATTGTTAAATCTTATTTTAGGTTATTAACATCAATTCTTTTGGGATGCGTTGCTTTCCTTTACGGCACGGCACGCTCTTGTATCAACCTCAACATATCTAATAAATTCATGTCGATTTATCACAAAGCAAACGTACGTTACGGTAAAAAAGTTTCGAAATATTCTCTAGAACGTCTTATGAAATGAAAGATGACAAGTGAAAATTCGTATAGAAAATAATCTTTTGCTAACATTCCGCGCCTGAAAGCAAGCAAAGTGAAAATAATAATAATATCATAACAACTGTTTCCGTGTTTTACAAAATTGCCTGATGAGGATTAACTCATAGAGCAAAATTTCGAAAAATCATTTTATTACAATGAATAACTTATTATATCAATATAGTAAATCGCTTTAACGGGGATCACGAGTAAAGCAGCAGTACGCACGTTCCTGCTAAGAGCAGTGTACAATTCTCGTTCCGAATATATTTTGCACTTAATGCTTATTGAAGAGGAAAACAGAAACTTTGAATGAATCTTATATTATATATATATCACATATATATATTCTTAAAAGGAAAGAAAATTTTAATCGATTAAGGAAAACATTGAAGTTATAAAACGCTTTTATTTCCTGTTTATTGGTTGACGATGTCTTCATTTAAACGGAAATATAGTAATTTCTTGCGGTAAGCTACGGCATTAATAATTCGAGTCGCAGAAGCGTAACGAAACGAAGTTTGTACTAAGAAATTATTCTTTCCGTATGAGTAGCAATAGAACGCATGATTCACTTCATAAGCGTTTTACAATGCTACCGATTATTACTCATATGAAAATAACACTTATACGCCCCATTTGCCAACATTACACTAATTTAAAAAAAATTGCTGGAAGTTAAGAAGCGCTTACTCACGCCAATTGGTGGTATTGCTGAGCTCCCTCCTGTAACTTTATTATTATGAATTATATAATTACGTTCTACATCTCTGATGTGTGAAATTTGTGCGTAGGTACGTATCGCATAGAGGAGTTTGGGTTAAAGTATGCCCACCTTTTATTGTATCGATCGATTCGGAATCATTTCGTTAATCGATCTAAGCTTATCAGTGTGTTTATCTCGTCGTCCGTCGGTCGACGGTTCAATGAAATTTCATACAGTGACGTCTTTTATCCCAAACACGAACGCTATCGAAAACGGACAGGATTACATCGGATCACTTTTTACGCCACTTAAAAAACTGTTATATGAAAAAAACTGCAATTCTCAGAACTCGTTCATGAAAATCGCTCAGTCATAATACTTCAACATTCTAGATTAATGTGAAAAACTCGGGTCAAATGGACCAATCTTTTGAACCTCTCCCTTACAACCTTATAACTTTGTATGAATAATAGTAATATTATGCATGAATTAGCTGGACCGAATTGAACGTTGCAAGCCCTTGGTGAAAAAGTTTAGATTTTTATTGTTTCACGGACAGAACTTGGTTCATAACAGTCATTTGACATGGAAATTTGATTCGCATGGGTCTATTTTTAAACCCCATTTCTTAAGATGATTCTCACGAATTGGAAAAAAGAGTTTAGTTTTACAATGAAAATTGATTCATAGTGCATTGGTTACCCCTTCAATATAAGAATTTTCGTGAAAAGTACTCCCTTACCTAAAATGTATGTATAATTTTCGGTGTGTTATACTGCAAATGATGGAAGGATTGTGTCAGGCGAAGTAGCGTAACCTACTGAATATCGCCATCGTCGCACAGTAATGCTTGTTCTTGGTTTTACGTTGATTTTTTTATCGTCTCAGACTTTATTGAACATTCAACAATGATATGCAAAACGTTCTATGGGGAATTGAATCGTCTTTATGGTTCAAAAAGTCGATCCTCAAAGTCGCTATTTAAAAGTGTGCTTAAACTGTCCCTACTTTTGCCTCAATTGTCAAGTTTGACTTGACTTTAAAATCTTTACTGTATGTTCGTCATTCTCTAAGCGAAATATTTCAACTGATTTTTGAGAGGTTTTTTTGAAAAAAAAAAAAAAATAAAATGTCTTTAATTAGAATTAACGCCATTTCTTATTTTTAATATTAACATTTCAAAAAACTCTGCATGCTGTGTCACTACGAAATGAATGTTTTGCGGCTAACGTTGACGTTTGAAGATTGTCGGTTGCAAGAGCTACAGTGCCGCCATTTTAACATTGAATAAACAATTATGTAAGTCGTCGATAGGGGTATAAAGATGTGAAACAAATTCCTTGCGATGCTTGGATAAGTTTTTTATGAATAAATTCGACAAAATTAACTGCAATCCGTCTCTACCTAAAAGGCAGCTTTACTTCCTGCGGAAAATAACTGAATATGTAAATAGACATTCAAAAAAACTATTTTTCAAATAAACTTTTTTAAGTAACATAGATAGATATTTCAAAAATATATGTATTTTTACCTCAGAGCTTTGCTTTTCAACTGTTGGTATTATTAAAATTTATCTAAGGTAACGAAATAAACCCTTAAAAGTAGTATTAGTGCAAGTAGCAACTGCTAGCTCTTTTTTTTAAAACATGGTTAGTCCGGTCGCTTTTCAAGTACTGCGTGTGAAATCCTTTAATAAGGATCTCTTTTATTGTCTACCAGAAATTTGAAATTTCTATATAAAACCAATGTCTTGTTATGTCACTGCGACCTACTGCGTAAGCGATATTCAGAGAATGACAGCAATTGGCTTTCTACGGACATTACGTCAAAATAGTATTTTGCCCAAGTTAAGAGGAGCTTTTCTCGTTAGCAGTTGGAAGCCTATTTCGATTAAAGATGTATAATGATTCAACGCATTGTGAAAGCGTTTAAGGACAAGAGAATTTTTATTTGTTAGTATGTATTAAACTCTGATTAAGGTTTACATAGTTCAGTACGTATGTGTATATGTCATTCTGCACATTGCATTCTGCAATTCTGCTTTCAACAAATTCTTAATGATAATTTTAAATTTTTATCGCCCATATTAATTTTCACCCTTTAAAACGGAATTTTCCATTTTTTTGTAGCTACTTATGTTTGCGTAGTTTGTAAATTTCGCGATAAATGCTTTTTTTAAACTAAAATATTTCAAAAAAATTTCACACAGAACTACATCTGTCCCCTTAATTACTCGGATAACTGTCGGAGATGTCATCCCATTCCCGTAAAAAAGTTTATCACTCTCACTTGCAGTATGCATTACCCGTAAATAAAGAGTTGTATGTACTTGTAAATTGTGCGTTGCTTTCCTTTTAAGGGCTCGCTTCCATTTGCACTGGTTATTATTGACACAGTATTATTACTTTCTCTCTTTCTCTCCCCCTTATTATTAATGTAATTAATATCACTCATACGCATCGTTGTATTTATGATAAAAATTAATTAAATTTCTTTTTTCTTTTCTTTGCCAGTAGATCTTTTTTCTTCTCTTCAAGAAGCAGCACACATCCATATAAGAGTGTTTTATGAGTACGCAGGAGCCCACAAACACCCAAATGCAAATATATGAGTATTTTATGTATTTGAATATATTTATGTGTAAATGCGGTTACTGCCAAGTATAGTAATAATTACTAACAAAAACAACAGCGAATACGATAACAACAAAGTAAGAAAAAAATTCCATTAATAAAAATTTTCATATATGCTCATGCATAGTCGGTTAAAAGCTGAGTTAAAGGCACAACCTACGCATGAACATCATGCTTTTTTGATCGTATTTATTATTGAAAGAAGAACCAGAAACACAGCAGCACATGTAATGTTATGGTGAAAGTAAATATTTAAATCGTATACGCATAAGAACGAAATGAATGTGTTGTATAAAGAAAAAGTAAAGAAGAAAGGGAGATCCGAACAACAGGAGGAAACGATGAAAGTGTAAAATAAAAATCTCGGAACGCATTTGCTATGGCATACATCACAACATTTAATAGCTGCTATACGTAAATATATGGGCACATATAAACAATTCAGTGAATGAAAGCAGGAATACCTCAACGAAATATGGCATAAAGAGTGACTACAAATGCGGGAGTAAAACTCAATTTTATTCCTTTTTTTTTTCTCTTGTTTTTAGGGTTTTTCGTCTCTCTGTGTTCTTATAACAACAGCCTGAAATCGTAGAGAATACAATTAAAAGAAAACAGCAGAGGACGTCAGGCGTAAAGTTTTACAGTCCATTAAATCTCGGCGCAGTTCGTATCAAAGAAATGAGTAAGAGGTTTACACATTTGCTCTGACATACACTTAATATTCATGTATATTGTAGTAGTAAGCGACCATTAGTAAGCGACCCCTTTGCCAAGGACTAAAATTCTCAATTTATTTATTAAAGCAGCGCAATGGGCTTTAATAAGCAGTCACTCTTACTCAATGGCCTTTATAAAGTGGACGAATTTTTAATTCTTACCAATTGCTTTTGTAAACTAGCAGCATCTCCTCTAACCGGGCCGACACCAAGTGTCGATAGTTCGGTATCTTTGCGTATGACCCATTCGGTTAATTCCCGTAATGATAATAGCAACGCATTCCAATGCTCCGAATTGTTCTCCAAACGATTCCTGTCGCAACGAAAAAGCGAAGAGAAAAGAAGAAAAGACAAAAAACATCATAAAAATATTTAAATTTAATTTACATTTAAATTAAAATTATAATAATTAACACTTTATAAATAGTTTGGCAAAGCAAGACTTAGTAAATGCCTCATAACTTTTAATGGCGCGATTTCTAACTGTTTTCTCTTATTCCGCGTTTCTTTATAGTTTTCATTTCTTTTATGCTTTTATAAAATTTTTATGGTTCTTTTCAATTTCTCAGTTTGTTTCGTTTCTCTTTTTTTGTTTATTATTTCTATATTTCGTTTATTTTTTCAATTTTTTTTTTTTCTTTCATTTTGCGTTAATAAAATCTTATGCATTGCTCCCCATGGCATGCAGTTCGGTTGGTTTGTTTGATTATTATCTCTCATTGTGTATTATAGTCGAGAGAATGGCAAATGATTTTCAAAAAAAAAAAAAAAAAAAGAAAAAGACTTTCTTGTACTCTGCGGAAAGAATATCTTTTCATTCTCATTGTGTTTACTTATATACTTGATAATGTTAAAGAAAATTTTCTTTCATGCGAGAAACTATTAAAAAATAAAAGTTCAATTTTTCGACAAAGGGTTGGGTAGCTGCTGTTAACAACTTGAGTGATCTTTAATTTATATGAGGAAAAGAAAATATTACTTGAACGAGTTTTATAAGAAGATGTTTATTTTTTCAATTTTAATTTATTGCTCCTTAAAAGAACGTTCGCTTTTAAAAAGGATTTTAAACTGTATCGTCTTTCATGGAGCCTTCCTTGCTGTGAAACCAGTGTATATGTTGTGTATCGCAATTTCAAAGCTTAAAGTTGTTCGTCAACATATATATCATGTGGGAAAACCCGTTCTGTCAAAGTGGAATGATGAAATGAAGATACATCCCTCCGCTAGGCTCAATAAGTGTTTTCAACACAGCTTCACCGTCATTCGTTACTGATACGCCACTTTCGAGTTATATTTTTTAAAGACCTGCGTATAAAACCCAATTCTTAGTTCGGTAGTGAAATTTTTATACTCTCTGCTGGTAATGAAATTTATTGTATCCGCTTTATATTACGTAAGGCAGGCGATCAATTTTATATAACGAAAGTCACATATGACGCGACTGCTAAAAGCTTTAAAAATATATGTCTTCATGTCATTAATGCAGAGGTGTAATAAAACTTTTATTGTTACGACTAAGCGACAATAGTGTGCGATTCGTGTAATGAGGTATGAACAATTTAGGTGCAGATTTCAAAAAGGAAAATAATTGCTTCGTCTTTCAGAGGCATCTTAAATATCGTGGATCATTTTTATTAGCTTAGTTTTATAAGTTAATACAAAAAAATTCGGTTAATAGAGTGAACCAAAGAATTAGAATTTATTTCAAAAAGAGAAAATAAAAAGATCTACAGAATACATCCTGATATGGAATTTGCAGCGTAAATTCAAGGCCGTTCTTCACAATATCTTGTCAGACTGAGCAATCAAGTAATTTGCCTGGTAATTACCTGGTATAGTCCATTCACCAATTAATTTAAATTTTTTAATGAATTTTTTAGGTTTATGTAGTTAGCTTCTTTTTATCTATTTAAACATCAAATCTGCTTTGTTCCATTATTTTCATTAGGGGAGAATAATCTCTGTCTTTTCCTCACTTTTCTATAACAATCTACTAACCCGTTTAATGCTCAAGAAAACTTTCCTATTAAGATGTTGCTTCGACATGGAGAAGCCACGCACTGCTATCCAGTACTGCTCCCTTCTGGTCCCTTTGGAAAACGGAACTGACTGACGGTAGCAGTTACTTACTTTGATGAAATTAATTGATTGCTACAGTTGTAGTTATCCCTAGGTGCTCCAACTACACAATTTATAGTTTTAAGGATATTTGTGTACACAATTAATTAAAAGGTTACTATCGAAAAGCAGTAAGTACATGATTTGTATATCAGAGCTCTTGACAAATTACTACTCTAGGGCAGAAGATTGACAATAACGTTTCGCACAAGAATGAGAAAGTGTTTCTCCTCTATTATGCATAAAAGGATTTCATCCTTGAGCTTGTAAATATTCAAATGCCACGAAAACGAGCAACATACAACAACAATAATAATAATAATAATAATAATAATAATAATAATAAGACGAGAACATAGTAGAAGTTTTCCTTTTCCCCATGTTCTTCCTTACTTTTCATTGCTTAACGTGCGCACATATCACAAACGTTAAGACACAAATATCTAAAGTTTATCCGACAATTAGTCAAAAGGAAAATTCGTGCTGATATATGTTTCCTGGAAGGAGCGGTGTACGTATGTATGTAATTATAACGAGTAAGTTGCTGTCATTGACATTTGAAAATTTTTTTATGCAAATAATCCGAATATATCACAAAATTCATATGAACAAAGGGGAACTTAATGAATGCGATCAGACGTAAGGACAATTTGAAAGCAAAGTTTTTACTACAATTCATTACCAGTAGCATTGTCTTCTAGGCTGACGTATGCAGTTATGAAGATCAAAGATGAGAATTTTAAAAATTGCAAAAGAAACGTCAATCATTTGGTAGATACGAGCTAACACATAAAACTCGACAAGGAAATACATAAATGCATTAATTAAAATTGAACACACAGCAGCAAGATAGATAGATAGATAGACAGATAGATAGATAGATAGATAAAAATGTTATCGCACAATTACAATTCAACTTGTTATGAAAGTAATTTCATAACAAGTTTTCATCTCCTTCTTTTCCTTCCCACGATACAGTCAAGTTATTACAAGTTAGTTGGTTGGTAGAAGAAACGGTGCCTCTTCTCTCCTATCTCTTCTAATATTTATTTCGCTTACCTTATGGCAATGCTTTTTGATTTTAAATTATTCCAACGTTGATTCATTTCATCCAACCGTCGCTGCAGCATTACAGCGTCTTCCTGTGAGGTTAGTGAACCCAAAAGTTTACGGCCAGTGCCATCGAGACGATCATATACCACACGATGAGTTTCAATTTCCGATTGCAAGTCCTACAAAAAATGGGAAACCAACAAAACATAAAACATTACATCATCCATCTGCAACATCATACACATAAATTGCAATGAACAAAATCTAAGGTGAGATTAAAATAACGCGTTTGTTATGAGATTAAAATGTAAAAGCGCTAAAAATTCGAATAAAAAAGAAAAGAAAAGAAGAGAAAAGAGAAAAAAAAAAAAAAAAAAAACTATGCAAAATAAATTTATTCATAAGTATTACCTCTACTAACAAACAACTGTGATTCGTATTCTCTAACGCATACATTCACAATTGTGTAAATGTAGTATAACGGAATTTTCTGTACATTTTTCATTTTTCATTTTATCTACCAGCCGTACACAAAGTCTAATCTACTGAGAGTTTATAGGTATCCTCCTAATCTTACAAATATATATATATATATGTGTATATATATGGACGATTACTAACTTGTTGCAGTTTGGAGTACAAGAATATATATAAAATTAAGAAACAATTGAATTGATTACGTGCTAAGTAGAAATTACTTTCGCATTTGTAATGCCGCGGACTTAATTCTACAGAGGAGCACAACATTATTTTAAAAGTTTTTAAAAACGCTAAACACACACTCGGTGTGGAAAGGATACTCTTAAAGACAACGGAACGTATTTCATCTCAAAGAATTTTCATTACAATGCACTTAACACACCCCAAAAATGCGATCTTCTCAATTAGTTAAGTGCAACTGCAAGTCTTTTATAGCAGGAATGAGAAGTTTTCCGTTCTGGCCAGACTGCCGTTTACTTCAATGAAATACATCTTGTTACAGAATGTCTCTCCTTTTTGCATTAAAAGAGAAATTTTCCAAATTTTAAAGTGAAGACAAAAATTTAATCAATTAATTAATATTCTTAGCTTTCGGTTATAGTATCGTACGATATAGTATTAACACAAAGCCTCGGGGTCGCATAGAAATAACGGAAAGAAAGGCTAGCTTTTTCGCATTGAAAGGAGTAAGTAACAAAGAAAATTTCGAACAAGCTTTCATACTGAGAGCGATTTCATTGATTTCCCCATTTCCGGAATTTCAGGTGAAATTAAATACAATCAGCAAAAAATCGTAATTGTCGTGCCATCCAGCAGAGCAAGGATGTGAAGTTCATTCCTCTGTGTTTTTGTTAAATTAGCAATCGATAATGCATTACTGTTATGTATATTGCATTATGTAAGTACGTTCACTAGTTTTTTTGCTCATTAACAGGAAAAGGAGGGAATAAAATTATTCATTGCAAGTAGCAGAAAAAAGGTAGCTTAGAACGTTACATACATTTTTTTTATTGTTACGTATGTTGAGCACCTCGGGGGATATCTCCAACACACTCTGATGGTCGGGAAAGGCGCATGGGTACAGTTGTGCACAGTTAACTTAAAAGTGGGAACATCAAGCCTGGCGGGAAAGACAGTTGCTAGGAGGCTGTCTTCAACGTGGGCAGTTGGGTTAAAGAGCGACGAGTCGCTGTATAGTGTCGCACGACACATAGCGAATTCCAGGATAAGTTTGTGGGGAAGATGGGAGAATCGTGTACACTTTTGAAAGGAATTAATTGGCGAACAAAATTCTGTAGAGCGGTTGACCTACATAATTGCCTTCATTACGCCGCTGCTCAAGGGCATCGAAAATTTTGGACACAGCCTCATCGCCCATGAGTGTGTGAACCCTTCGTTTTATGCGGCAAATGGTCTTCAAGTCAAGTTTGGAAGCTGGCTCCGCGATGCCGAGTTCTTTTTTAACTTTGGCCCAATGCAGACGGCGTAAATTGTACAGGTGTCAGCTGCTGTGTACTTTGCACTGCTTTAAACAAACTGAGCCGTTGACTGAGAATATATATACCGTCCATCGAACATATATACTGTCCGTAGGTGTTCTCATACCTAGAACATATTAAAGGTTGCCACTTACTCTACACCACCAAAGTGCAGGCGTTGTTCATCGCCCTTCTTGCGCGTTAAAGCTAACCCTATTTGTCAACGTCTACTCCATTAGCTTTTGTTGAAGAAAAAGAAGTGAGACAAGGTGCTGCCGTCTGCAAACGAATTGACAGGATTTTCCCGTTACGCACAGAAGATCATTGATGAGCATCAGGAACAGGGAGGGAGAGAGAGAGAGAGACAGAGCGCTGAGCCTAATCCTCCTGCTTTAAGGTGTGATCGGTTTAGTTCTTATCGAATAATTGTTTACGAAACCCGTTGTGGTGTAGTGAAATTGGCGTCGACATAAATGAAAGGTAGATTGTATCGATGAGATTGTAGAAGCAGCGAGAGGCGTGAGTTTTCAGTTCGTCAAATTTATATATATTTTCACTACATACGTTCTTGTAAACATTAATTCTACATTTACAGGTGGAAATTAGTGGATTATTGATTGAAATGCAAGCTTAACGCGCACTAATGATTTCAATTGCAATTGTTTGAGAAAGCCACTAAAATCATTCCTTATGCAAAGCTTGTAAACGCTTGAAGTTGATGATGTAACTTTATAGACTTACATCATCTACTTCGGCTCCAAGCAGAAACAGTTACAGGATGGCTGCTGCACGCCTATATTACAATACAATAATATCAACGGTTACAAGTACATAAACGGTTATGTACATAGACGAGTTTTCCCTCTTTCCCTCTACGTTTTCCACTTTAGAATCAAATATATTTTGCTATTTTTTTTTTATTTTTATTTTTTGTTTTGATATTATAAACAACATGGTGTAGATTTTTCACAAACAAACAACTATAAACCGGGCGGAGAAAAACGGCGGTAGAAAGTTTTTCTTTTCTTTTATATATATATATATATATATATATATATATATAACAATACTGCAGCAATGCATAAATATGAGTTTGTTTTGATATGTTTATGTGTTTGTATGTTAAAACAAAATATGCAAATATTTTTGTTAGAAGGTTTTTTTGTGCTGGAACAGAACATAACAGAAAACAACTACAGACTGGTTTTTATGAAAAAAAAACAAAAAAAAAGCAAAAACAAAAACTGAAAACTCTATGAAAAAATTCTAACCTGTCAACATGATTTGATGTCGTCTATAAATGCGGAATAAAACAAGGATTAAATGTAAATATGAATATTGGCAGTTGTAAGCGACCCAAACGCACACCCTTACACTTATGCTTAAGCTTAATAAACTTTCAAAGATGACGAGAATGATTAAAGTCACTTAATCGCCGTTTATAAGCTACGCTTCATTATATTTTTTTTTTTGTCAGGTCTGGATTCTTGAAAGATGCCTTTCAAGTCCTGCAAGGGATCATGAAATCATTTAATTCCTAACATTTTGCACCTTCCACTACATGGACTTGAATGAAGCCGTTAAGCAGTAAAACATGAAGAAGTGTATAAGAGTCGCTTATGAAATACAACATTAACATGCATATGTGAATTGTACGTATGTGCGTGTATATATATATTCTTTTAAATATATATGTATGTGTGTGCATAAATGCATTTGTTTTATACAGTTTGTTGACTTCAATTACAAATTCAAATGTAAGCGACTTTGCTTTCAATATTTTTTCATTTTTCCTTTTTTTCTCTCTTTCTTTATTGTATTTATGCATATAATGCGTTATTAAAGAGCAATTATATCCAAACTACTCTTCTTTTTTTTCTGGAGCATAACCAAACCCAAAATAAAAATACATGATTTTTGAAATGTTTTTACTAAATATTTTAAATCGGTTTGGAAGAGAAGACGGGGCACGCATCCAGAGGTAGTGATACACTGTGATTTTTGTTTATCATATATTTTTGCTGCCAAAAATTGTTGCAAATTTTTTGTTCTATGAACAAAAATTCTTATGTTCAGCAAACTTTTCATTATGTCCGCTGCGATAGCTACGAATAAATGACCCAATTTTATGTGATTTAATTTGTAATAAAACAAAAAACACAACACAACACAGCACAGAGCAACGCCGCACATCAAAAATTTTTCATTATCTGTCGCTTTTTCCCTCTAGCCTTTACAAAATTGTTAAAATTTTTGCATATCCATCAACCGGAAGGTCTATTAACTTTGTCATTTATTTTACCGCACCAAAAGCTTCAAAATGATATTCTGTTTATGAGCATATGCACACTTGATTACAACCATATTCCACACTTTAAAAATTCTACCTTACTTGTTATGCGTAGTAAAGGTCGTCTCTGCAACAGATTCTCACCTTGTAAACATGATGACTACGAACATAGAATGAATTGGAGATCATGATCTAGCTGAGCTCATTGATATTTGCATTGTCCATAATAATGCACGAATGTGTTTTAAATTTCGTTACGCATATGCATGTAGATATGTGTAGTCAGATATCCTTCAGAATTAATTCGTATCGTAAGTTGCAAATTTCGAAATAGATTTCGTATACGAATCTTCAATATTCCAATCAACAATCCAGCCAACATATTATCCCAATTTAAGGCTAAAATTTAATGCTTTGGTCTAAATAAATACAATAATAATAATAATAATAATAATAATAGCACACAGCTGTCGAGAACCAAAGGATTCGTTTCAAACTACGTTCACAGGTCCTCTTTCTAGTTTTATTATTTAATGCTAATGAAGGTCATCCGAGCGTATAAGTAATATTGGTAACATATATTGTACAAAATTATGCATTTTGTGTGAAATACATTGCGTATGCAAAGAATACAACGATATACTAATTGCGTCAATCTGCTTGCAATGTCTAGACAGACGGATAGGCATCACAAAGCCAGGCTAAGAGTGGCCTAGGGTAGACTTAAACGCGAGTAGACCTTAAGCCGTCTACCTTTAGTTTAGCATCCTTCTAATACAGACATTCATTGCACACAATAGCCCAGAATTTATAGGAAAAAAAGCAAAAATAAATCGTTGATAACATTATGTGCTTGCTTGCATGAACTTCGATCGCTTTTCTCACTTGGAAAATGCATTTTAATTATTAACAAGGCGTACTGATTCGCAGC